AAATATAACACATTGTCAATGGTGACAAAAATATAACACATTGTCAATGGAGACAGAAATATAACACAATGTCAATGGAGACAGAAATATAACACATTATCAATGGAGACAGAAATATAACACATTTTCAATGGACACAGAAATATAACACATTGTCAATGGAGACAGAAATATAACACATTGTCAATGGAGACAGAAATATAACACATTGTCAATGGAGACAGAAATATAACACATTGTCAATGGAGACAAATTAATACAATCTTTTACCTGTAACTAAGCGAGATCCGGTTATCTCAGTCGAGGGTTAAGATTCTGTAACAATCCCAACCGAGGCGTAAGCCGATGTTGGGATGTTACAGAATCTTAGCCCTCAACTGAGATAACCCGATCTCGCTCAGTTACACGTAATTGATTTTTTTTTCTCGCACCTTTTAGTTCGAAAAGAACTCTTCAGTTTTGCTATAAACTACAAGTATCCCGCCTTGGACCTCAAATGATAATGACCTCTTCACTACTAAAGCTACATTTGAATGCTTCCGCGTAAAAATATAGTCCGTCCTTACATAGATTACAACGTATTTCACAGTGTAGATTATATTTTATCTACAACATCAAATATCTACCAACATCAAAACTATACATATAACGACAAAAAAGAACATTTATAAGGCAAATTGTCAAGAGATAGAAAAATCTAGCATGGGGTATAACGTGGGATATATTTGTCTGAGGTGCGAGAAATATAACAAATTGTCAATGGAGACAGAAATATAACACATTGTCAATGGAGACAGAAATAAAACAAATTGTCAATGGAAACAAAAATATAACACATTGTCAATGGAAACAAAAATATTACATGCATGTCCCTCTAGCTAGTGATTCATAGGAGACAGAAATATAACACATTGTCAATGGAGACAGAAATATAACACAATGTCAATGGAGACAAAAATATAACACAATGTCAATGGAGACAAAAATATAACACATTGTCAATGGAGACAAAAATATTACATGCATGTCCCTCTAGCTAGTGATTCATAACATAACTGACGGGTGGTTAACGAGGTTCAAAGTGAGCCTGATCATCAGAGATAACAAACATAACATAACTGACAGGTGGTTAACGAGGTTCAAAGTGAGCCTGATCAACAGAGAGAACAACCATAACATAACTGTCGGGTGGTTAACAAGGTTCAAAGTGAGCCTGATCAACACAGAGAACAAACATAACATAACTGTCGGGTGGTTAACAAGGTTCAAAGTGAGCCTGATCAACACAGAGAACAAACATAACATAACTGTCGGGTGGTTAACAAGGTTCAAAGTGAGCCTGATCAAAAGAGAGAACAAACATAACATAACGGACGGGTGGTTAACAAGGTTCAAAGTGAGCCTGATCAACACAGAGAACAAACATAACATAACTGACGGGTGGTTAAAGAGGTTCAAAGTGAGCCTGATCAACAGAGGGAACAAACATAACATAACTGACGTGTGGTCAACGAGATTCAAAGTGAGTCTGATCAACAGAGAGAACAAACACAACATAACTGACGGGTGGTTAACTAGATTCAAAGTGAGCATGATCAAAAGAGAGAACAAACATAACATAACGGACGGGTGGTTAACAAGGTTCAAAGTGAGCCTGATCAACAGCGAGAACAAACATAACATAACTGACAGGTGGTTAACGAGATTCAAAGTGAGTCTGATCAACAGAGAGAACAAACATAACATATAACTTATGTACAAAAAAATACAAAAACTATGACTATTCTTCTACTCATCAAGCTAAATTCTGGTATAAAACCAGGTGGAATTTATACTTACCTCCTTATTTTGGATGATTTACTTGTAGATTTGACATACAAAAAACATCCTTTAACTGCAGCTAGGTACTTCCCCTGGAAATAAATGAGATTTGAAACAGTCATACAATATCAATATCTGTAGTTAGTAATAATGGGCTGGATTGAAAGTTTCCAACTTTAAAAAAATAACTCATAATTTCTTCATCATATTGCAGAGGGTTGAGCACCATATATCAACCAAATTACGTCAGATATGTCCAGACCTAACGTTAACAGGTCATCTTATACCCATGACAGAGAACAATAAGTTATGATCCCACTCTGTCAGTAATAACCGTGTTTACTGACCATTTTGTTGACGGCTCAGCACTGTTGAGTTACTAGACACGGGGCTTTCAACTGACCCTTGAGAATATCTTTTTGACCCCACAAAATCTGTTTTGACTCTTGGATTTGAAAGAACCTGCATATCTGACATGTGTCTCTAAATTTAATGAAAAATGTAATGATATTTTCCTTCTGAAATTATAAAATGTCAAGGGTCAAATGAAAGCCCGGAGACAATCTAAACATGTAAATAGTTAATTTTATAGATCCATAGCTAATGTTAGTAAATCCACTTACCTTACAGCCGATGGCCGAGCTCCGAGGGTCACTGGATAGTCCAGATAGGTCTTTGATACTTTTGGACTCATCCTTATTAGAGGTTAACATGTTACAGTGCTCTAGGTAATCTGTAAAAGTGAAATGGATTGTTGACTTAACATCGAATATCAGGTTATTAATTCATTGAATTTGTCATATTATTCATTCATTAACTTTGTGGGGTATAATTAGTTCACAAGTTAGTTAGAGCCTTAAGTTTTACAGCCTACGGACGGTTGATGGCCAAGCATTTTGTTTAGAACTCGGCAAGATCCAGGAGGAAATGTTTTATAAAGGTAACTGTTCACAAAAATCAAAAATAAATCAAATAAACATTTTTTTTGCGAAAAAAGGAATTTGAAAGAGTTTCAAACTTGGGGAAATATCACAGAAAATTAGGAGCCATGGTAAACTTCACTTGAATCTATGAGACTTGCATAAATTCTATAAAATTTCTCTGATAGAATGACATGGTAAGTGTGTATTTGTATTAAATTTGTAAATGTATTTTCGTCTCGTTGACAGAAAAAATGTGTTATTTACATGAGTTTCCGAAATGCTTCAGGACTTGCACTAAGTCAGGGTCACCGGGCCGTATCCAGATCCCATGGAGTGGACCCTGCAATCTTATCCTCTGTAACCAGAAACAGCGAGTTAATAGATTAATTATCATAAAAAATCAATTATAAATAAAGTAATAATCAAAACTATGGCACTTTAAGCAACATGGTACCATGCCAGGGATTTTACTAACTATTTTTGGAGAAAAGCCCCGTGCAAAGTTTTGAAAAATTTATTGAAATTTTAAAAAATGTGTTACAATGATATTGACCTTCCTTCGCAGGCAGAAAATCATTTTTATGCAGAAAGTTCCTCAAAAAGGGCCATCTAAAAACACATCCTACATAAAAGATTTCTTTTAAATTAAAAGTTAGTCATTTGCACACAAGCTAAAAGAAAACTGTTTCTTCAAGTCTTCTTAAAATACCCAATTTCCAATACTAGGACGCTGTTAGAAGAGGCACAAAGACATTATACTTTCCATTATGTCATTATCACTTTAGACATGCACATATATATAATACCATATTATTAAAGAATGATTGTCTACATTTATTCCATTTTTGATTTTTTCACTTTTAGAAACACAAAAGTTTGCTCTTTAAAAAAGACCACAAAATAATATTTCTCTTTTGTGGTACCGGTACCTGGAATACTAAATTGGGGTAAAATTGTTTCTATATATATGTTTGATCAAACCACTCACCCATTCAGACTTCAGAAAGTACATACCTTAAGCAGAACTCCATCGGAATAGTCCCAGAATATCACTGTCTGATCCAATGAGCATGACAATAACTAAAACAAACAGTCACAGCTTACAATTAATGTCACAAATTTTATCACAACAAATTAAACAGTCTGCCAAATTAGTTTTATGATGTAAATCCTCTTATAAATTTCTTGACATTACTCATCTCAATTTCTTTAATCCATTGTATTTGTTTTACCTCTTTTTGAAACCTTAAAGGTGAGTCAATTTAAAAGAAAATATATGGATAACAAACAGTTTAGACTTGACAATTTACTGTATAATAAGTAATTATCTATAAAATCTTTATCGTTATATATTTGTTTACAACTTTTTTTTTTCCAGAAAATATCTATTGTTTAAATCAGCAAATGAAAATGCAACAATTGCTCTTTAATAAAAAGGAGATGCACCAAATCAATTTCTGATGAAGCCGACATCCAGACAGGACTAATAGAAGTCAATAGTAAACCCTAAAATGATCCCTGAAAATGTGATAATTGCGCTGTGCTGATAGAGCTGAAGTAACCACTGGCTAATAAATGGTGTAAACACAAAGGTAAACAGGGGTAGTGACTAATGTTCTTAGTTAACTGTCATTAATCCTGTATCATACCATGTAGAAGACATATACTGAAAGCAGCAGCTAGGTGTTTTTTGCCTGATACTGCAATACCACATATACACTGGGTATGATCACCAACATCATTAATCTGGAGCTCGGATTGGAAAGCTATAGATATCTAAAGCTCCACTTGTTCCCCAAAACATTGTTGCATTGGAACAGTGTCTCTCCTGGAAGAACAACTCTGGATAGGAAAATGCAGCTATTCCTTTAACCTACATGTATATACCACCCTAATTAAGGTTTTTAGCTGCAAACTGACAAATCTGAGTGTAAACCATCCTGGGATGCCCATTCAAGACCACAGGTACTAGCCTCGTCTGTGAATACACCTATACAATAATCTTATGACAGTATTGACAGACAAGGCTAGTACCTGTGTTCAAGACTAGTAAGACTTTTGTGTGTAACAGTAGAGGGGGAAAATGCACAGCCAGACAGATGCTCTACAAATTGAGCTACCCAGAAGCCGACTTTCAACCCAGTCGATCCAGTTCAGCTACATTTGTGTATCATTTAGCATCCACTCTCACTGCAATGCAAGCCGATCACTTACCAGTATGACATCTACATTTTACCATTGACAGCATTAGCTTTACACCCCAGATTACTTTAAAGAAAGAAAAACTTAAAAGAGTAAAAAATTACCTGAAGTTTGTTCTGAGAGTTGATGACAAGTCCTGTAGTTGTATTTTTGTGTCCTTTAAGATTGTGCACACATTCTCCACTAATGGTACTGTAAACTTTCACCAATGATTCAGCACAGCAGAACAGGAACCTGGCAATCATGAATATATAATTATGGATGAACATCACAACTAAAGCCTAAAAGTTTCTGGGTTGTCTTTCCTGAAATCCTGTTCGCCCTAGCTGGTTGTTTCGCCCTAAAACAAACATTTTAAGGCAAAACATTGTACACATGAAATATACCTAACACCAATATAGAAAGTTATCAATAAGTATAGTTGATGGCGCATACATTTTTTTTTTTTTAGGGCGAACAGGGTATAGGGTGAACAACCTGTTACCACCTAGCTTGTATTATGGAGTTTTCGGTCTAGTGCTAATATCAATACCCGGCGCAACCTATATATAAAAAAATGTCTCGTCGTCAGAAGCTACGTTATCAGGTCGGGGAAAACCCACTAACTTGCATATAGTACTGCCGTAACTGTACTTCATGTAAAGTTACATAAAGTTTCTAGGTAGCCAACGCTTTCAGTAAACATCTTTTAGCAAAATATTATTTACCTTGTCGTAAATTAATGCGATTTTTAATAATATCTTGCAAAAATTACTGTTAAAGCGATTTGGGTTATTTTTAGCAACAAACTCATACTAATCAGGTCCAGTACACTCTGCCGATTGAGCTATATAGCTATAAAGCCCTATATAGCTATATACACCTATAAATTATAGCTGTACTGAGCTATATTTTCTCAGATTTCAAATTTCATTAAATTAAAGCAAAGTCGCATAAAACAATAAGGTTAATGGTAATGTTGACTACAAAAAGCATAGAGTTAGATGTTTATTTTCATTTTTCATAAATGTAAAATTTCCGATTTCTTTACATCATTTTTTTTTAAAAAGAATACTTATATTTAATGTCTTTTGTTATCAACCTAATGATACAACCTTCTTTTAAATGCGACTTTGTTCCGTTTTCCTTAAAAAAGAAAATCACTTGAAAATAGCTCAAAAGACCTATTTCAGATAGGTCAATAGAGCTATTATAGGTCTTTACAGCTATATAGCTCAATCGGCAGAGTGTACTGGACCTGCTAATAGGCGAGTGTGCGTGGTTATCGCAGCTATTTTCGACCCTTTACAAACTGTAGTGAAAAAATACGATGAATTTAAAAACATGTTAGCCAAAATGTAACTCAATCTCACTGTCAGGGGGGAAAAAATCAAACAATCTTATGTAAAGATCGGTACGTTCATACAGCAGAAATACAAGTAATAACACATGATACAGTGATAAGGCTTTTACAAACGACATAATACTTCAGATGACCGAACAGCAGATCCTGATTCATACTTTAAAACATTCATATAAGTTTCTTACTTTGAGTCGTACGAAAACAAAGGCTTTGAACGGGTCAGATTTGCGCCGGCACGCACAGAAGCAATAATTTTCTTCTCGTCCACGTTTTCCGTGGACGCAGACATCTTGAAAAATGACGTCATAACAAAAGCAAATGCTAGTTTCTGAACAGATAAAGCGGTGAAAAAACTCCGGAAAATGTCACGTCCAAAGTACCCTGTCTGTAAAGGAACACCCAGAGTAGATAATTTTCGGGATAACTCACAAAATAGTCCAAGATATTTTATGTCACAAAGTTTCCTTAAAAATAAGAGACTCTCATAGTACATATATAACAACTATTGTACACACGCTTGCAGCGTAGCCGAATCGACATCGAATTTTTGGACAACTCGTACACATTTTACACACTGCATTATCGATTTTGTCAATAACTTGACTGTTTTTGCAAAGTTTTCTCTTGGGTCATATTTCCATCTATGGATATAAAAAAAAATAAGACATGTACACATTTAACTGTAGTCCAAAATAACGACTGTCTCCTTTTCTTCTTTTTTTTCTTTTTGTTTAAACATTAAAAAGGATTAAATATAGATTCCGAAAAGGTACGTGTACCTATCAAAACCACCGATTGTCTGAAAAACGGTTCGTAATCGATCCAAAACGAGATGAATAGAACCGGGGGTCGATAATACCCCCCTGTCGATAACACCAGAGACGTCTCTGATAACACCCTCCGTTGCTCTATTTCAGCAGAGACGTATAAATACATACGTCTCTGATTTCAGTAATTGATGGGGGGGGGGGGGGGTCTACATTTTCATAGTTATCCATGTAGTATCAATCTACTCCTCCCCCTCCCTCCTTCATCGGAGTCTAAATTTGTTTTGATATGCACATAGCTATATGAATTTTCTCAAATGAAAGTAGCTCATGTTGGAATTGGGTGGTCGGGTAGTACATTCGAGAGCGCAACCACTTTTTATTAAAACGACCCGCGGGGATGCCTTGATAAGGGTGACATGCCACACTACATTGGTTTTCTCCGGTTTAGTCTCACTTTTAAGACCTCTCACACTTCGATCCGGGCCAACGAGTATGATAAATATTTGATAATACTATTTGTAAAATAAATAAAATTTATATTTATTTTTATTTGGGATAAGATTGAGCAAAAAAAAAGTGACAGTTTCATAGAGATGACTATCCTCCACCCCAACCCAACTTTCAGCCACTCAGCCACAACGGCGCGCAAATGTAACGTCATATCTCCCGGGTAACCATTATGACGTCACAAAATCGTTGGCGACTATTGCAAAATGACGTCTTTCAAGAAGAACCACGATGGCATGGTAGCTTTCATTCTCTGCTTAGTATTTTGTCTATTCATTCCAAATGCCGAATCCATCAATCTGGTTGCAGATTTTTACACTCAAAATGGACAGTTTGGGGTATGTTCGGAGGCTATTACAGGAGAAGATAGCGCCTATCTACGTTCTCATGTCGGAGCTTATCAGTTTGGAAGTTTGATCGGATACCGTGCCAATGAGGACTGTGCAGTTGGATTTGACGCCGGAGAAGGTAACACAGTAGTATTGATATATGCATTAAAATGGTGTACATGTAGTAAGTAGCGGATCATCAATTAGACTAAAGTGGAAATATCGTTGTTCATTTGTTGAGGAATGTGTGTTTCACGGAATTCCATTACTGCAGTAACTTTCAATTTCAAAGTATTTTATTGACAATACATATATAATACAAACATATAAGTTAACATTAAAGGAGATATTTGAACAGTATTGACAAAAGAATAAGACAACAGGCTTTGCCTATATCAGTCTTCTTCTAATTCCGGTAGATATGTACAATGCTTAAATATATAAAATGTTGTGATTCGTTTCCTCTCACACTCATGCACACCCACACCCACACCAGCTTATGTCTAATACTAATACTGCAGGTACGTACTGTAATGTTTTCAAATTCAAACTTAAGCGCGTATGATTGTATTTCATGATTGCTCTTATAGTTTATTAAACTTGCAGTGATCTAGATGTTTATGTTTACTTTTTTTATGTCAGTGCTTTATGTCTCGGTGTGTATTTCATAAGGCGTATTACCAATGTTGTACTTTAGTATTCTATCTGTTGGCTTTCATTCGCTTTACAGTCGCCGGTTGTAGAAGCATAATGCCTTGAGTTTTTCTTTTATATTATATACTGAATGTGAAATAAAGCTTACCTGGCTTGACGCAACTCGGTGTGAAATTTACAATACATAAACATGTACTGTAGAAATACATTGAAAACCACTGTATTACTGAATACAACGTCTACTGTAATCAAGACGGAGTTTCAAGCCTATGGAAAACTTTACATGGCGTTAATCCCTGGGATACTCCTTCATAGTCCTTGGTCTAGGTATATCAAAATAAGCTTCTAACTGCACACTTTTGATAAAGTTAGAAACTATTCTACCCGAGGTAGATTTTTTATATGCGCAATAATTTTAATTTTTAATAAACTAATTGCCCCTGAAGGATAAGGTGATATTAAATCGTATAAGAGGCAAAACGTTGATATGACATTCCAAAATATTTTGATTCTGGGCGTTATTGATTCTTCAGTAAAGCTGCTTGTAGAAAATGTTATTATGATTTGACCATTGTGACCTCATAAGTAGATAAAGATAATTTTAGTATGGACCTTCTAATACTTAATCACAGGTAGTTACTAGGCTAAGTAGACATGTGATAGGATAGTTATGTTGTCGCAGCGTGCCATTTCCCGATTTTTTTCCCTTTATTTTTTTAATTGACTCCAAGAGCTAAGTACAAGAGGTAAGCAGACAAAAATAGCACTTTTTATAAAAACTATATGAATTTTGATCAAACACTATTCATTTGTATTGCACAATATAAATGCTGCATCATATAAGTATATGAAAAGTGTTCAATTTTGGGTACTCTACGTTAGCATTGTTTTATTGTTTCTAAATAAAATTCTGATATTTTCAAATTGAAATTATATGCTGAAAATACATACCTTTTTCAAAAAGAAAATATCGAGGATTATATTGAAAATATGCCCAAGATAATAATTCAAGGAAAATAAACCAATGAACATATCTTTTCAGGTTCATTTTAATCAAAAATGTCTTTAATTCGGTTAAAATGTTGTGTATTTACACCAATCTTTCATTGATTTGAACAATCGAAAATAGGTGCGTTCAATTGAAGATATTCCCAACTTTCAAATGCACCTTTCTTCAAAAAATTGAAACTATGTGCAAATTATTGAAAAGATTCATCCAATTAAAACATTTAATGTATATTCAATGGTTTAAAGATTTATTCTATCAGTTGAATATATGCTAAATTGGCGTTCCATAAGGTCTGGTAGGGGTTTCCTAAAGGATCTGTTAAAAAATATCTGAGAAAAAAGAGCTTATCAATGTAAACGAATTCCTTCTCCTTCTTTTTCCAAAGGTAAGCAAGTTTTGGTCAAATTCTTGCGGTTCAGCCTGCAAGAACCAACCAACTCTGTGTGTCAGGACTACGTCACGATCGAGGAGCTTGGAAGGGACGATAACTTCACGTACTGCGGAAGTCAAGGTAACACAGAAAATCAGGATAAGAAATCATATATAAACATATGTTATGATGCTTTTTGTGAGACTTTAAGATGTAAGAGTAAATTTTTATCAATTATAGAGGTTACTATCACATTTTAGGCTCATATTTATAGACATGAACAAGTGATATTAACCGAGACTTATACTTTTTCTCGGTTAATATCACTTTTTCATGCATATATTTATCAATTAAGGACTTTTGTCGAGGGAGGTACGCTGTTATATGAACATGATAGTGTGATACCGGCCGAGGACGCAGTTGGTGGTCTTATTATACGGAGAATATATATAAAGGCGCTAATTTAGTTATTTACATGTTATCCTAAAATGTAATTGAGCCTAAACAATTGCGTCTTTGACAATTGGAATTCGTATTTCATTTGCTGTGACATGATCTTATTATGGCAAATATGAGGCATTCCTAAGATTGTAGAGGGCTTTATTTAACAAGTAGTTAACATATTTTATACAAAGATAGGTGTTCCTCCCAGTATTGCCGTACTGTACGAGTCTGAGTGTATAAATAATTCTTCCTGTATATATCAAAAGAAGTGGTACACTTATATTTGACGAACATATAGGCAATGCAACACAAAAATATGTTCATATTGCAATATGAGACGTCAGATAAACACGTGTGACATTGCCTACTCTTTGTTGACATTATACAATTTATACATAGAAGAGGTGGATGAATAAGTCGGTCATCACGCATAGATTGTGATGATGATGGTGACAGTGATTATGATGATGATGATATGATGATGATGATGTTGTTTGTCACTGTGTATGGACGATGATGATGATGATTGTACATAAGATGATGATGAAGTTGATTGTCAATGTGTATGTACGATGATGATAAGATGATGACGATGATGATGATGATTATTGTCACTGTGTATGGACGACGACAACGATGATGATGATGATGATGATGTGTATAAATGACTATGATTGAGAAACGCATGCTTCTGTCTTCAAAAGAGAGTTTGTGTGCAATGACTGTTTGATGTAGATGTAACAAAAAACTTGAAAAAATAAAACAATATAAGAAAAAAAGAAGAAAAGATATTTCCTTTTTACTGTAGTTCATTAAACTTCAACAGTTTTTTTGAATCAATAAGAACATTTAGCTTTCGATAAGTGTATTTCATAGATATCAGCATCAGGTGCAGCTACGTTTTGATTTATTTTGTTGCGTATGTTATTATTATTCGTTAAAATGTGTAGTTGAACATATTTAGAAATCATAAGCAACGGAGTAAAACCAATAAGTCCCCCAAACAGACGCTAAATGATGGTGAGTTCGTTTTGCTGTTACCAAATGAAATTCCGTTCAGGTACTATTACGTTTAAGGTACCATCACGCTAATACATTGTAGTTTGGCGACGTTTCCATAGTACTTGTTGTGAGTATTGTTTGTCTACTGTGTTTTGTCGGTCATACTTATTGCACTCTTCATCTTCCTATTGCATTGTACTAAACATTCTGATATGGTTTTGCTCGACAGCCATAGCTCCTTACGTATCTGATGAGAACAACATCACACTGATCTTCTACAGTGACTCCACTACTCAATTGAGCGGGTTTAAGATCCTGCTGACGTCATTCCGAACGGCTACAGGTGCATGTCCAGCAGGGGAATTCAAATGTGACTCCACAAGGTAAATACAGTCGGGAGTCTTCAATAACACAACTTCATAGGACTAAACAAATGTTCTTCGAATATAACTTGATATTTATCTGCAATTTCACGGAAGAGCTGATGTGTCGATAGACCACACGACAGTTTATACGTATATAGGTCAACTGACGAAATGAAGCAGTCAAAACCTACCAATACAAACCATAGGGTCCATATCTTCAGAGTCATAGCAGGGGAATTCTAACGGGACGTAACTCCTAAATTTTATGTTCGCTTTGTCTAAGACTAGATGGCTTACCAATGTGACACTGTTTCTGTCAGTTTTACGGATTGTTTTTACTGTCATATAAAATAGTCATTTCTTATAAAAGGTGAAAACACAAATATTTTGTAGATTATATTATTTTTCCAACAACCACTACACATGTAGGTTTCCCCACTCCAGATAGATAAACCTGCAAGGAGTTGGTAAACATTTTTTGCTACTCAATAGAGGGTAACACCCAGGACTTTATTCCATTGGTCAATCTAATTAGGACGTCAAGAAAGAATGCTTTGCGACTTCATCTTCCATTGTGACGTCATAGTTTCATGACAATTGTTTAACTGATCGCAAACTGGAATAATGTTTTTCCTTGATATGATATCAAAACGTTGTGGGTGAAAAAGGTCCCTAAACTATGGCAAGCCAAGTTGTCATTTATGCATGGAACAATGTTGATCCAGTACTTAACCAAATTATATAAGATATCTTATTTAATTATATAAGATATCTTATTTACTTTATGAGATATCTTATATACTTTATAAGATATCTTATATAATAAATGAGATATCTTATATATTTTATAAGATATCTTATATACCTTTCTTTATAAGATATCTCATAAAAGATATGATATCTTATATATTATATAAGATATCTTATAAAAGATATAAGATATCTTATAAAGAAAAGTTTATGAGATATCATCTTTTATCAGATATCTTATATCTTTTACAAGATATCTTATAAAGTATATAAGATATCTTATAAAAGATATGAGATATCTCATAAACTTAAAATAAGATATCTTATATGTTTATAAGATATCTCATATGTTTATAAGATATCTTATATAATTTATAAGATATCTTATATACTATATGAGATATCTTATATAATTTGGTTAAGTACTGGATCAACATTGCTCCATGAATAAATGACAACTTGGCTTGCCATACTAAACTCATGACTGTTGATTTTAATGTTTATTTAACTCTCGTTAGTTAATTTTCAAACTGTAAAGACACTCGGTATACCTCGGGTCTTTATACAATTTTAAAACTAACTAACTCGAGTTAGATAAGCACGATAACCAACCATCACTCGTTTTGGAACCTCTATATCTCATTATTGTAAAGTATTAGCATCAAAACAATGAACTTATTTTCAAAACTGCAATATTTAAAATACAAGATGCACATGTTATAATTCTTGGGAAATTGCCAAAGATGATTCACCACTGTAACACTGTCGTGTTCTGCTCTACACGTAGTTTTGATGAGCTTTACACTTACTGCGATAAACCTTATTTTGTAGATGTATCGATGACTCGCTGAAGTGTGACGGAGTCCTCCACTGTGTAGACGGTACGGACGAGGAAAGCGATGAGGTGATTAATGTTTATAACCATAAAGGCATGTGTCTGAGGAAGGATAATGTTTTGTACTTCAGGTTGTATAAAGACATTGCTTCGGTACTGTTACAGACCTGCGAGAACGATTGTTTCAGTTTTAGGTACTTCAGGTTGTCTAAAGAAAATCTTCGGTACTGTTACAGACCCGTGAGAACGTTTCAGTTTTAGGTACTTCAGGTTGTCTAAAGAAAATTATTCGGTACTGTTAATGTGTAATTGTTTTTGTTGATATTGGAGAATAGCAACATTCTGGTTGGTATGTTTTTATATGCACTGCATAAAGGAAATGTAACTATATACAAATGTTTTATTTTCAGGACACATTGCGATAAAGATATTTAATGTTATACAACAATGTTTCAGTATTCATTTCAGTTTTGTCGATACAAAACAATTACGTGTGTTGAAATGCATCACAAGTGAATGACGAAAGGCCTTTTTTTGCAATCGCCTTTACTTCAGTCATGATTGTTGGGTTGAGATAATGGAGTTCTATATGACCTTGCATCTTTACATCTTTTGTAGGCCGGTTGTTCTTGGTTTGACCATGTCATTGGGGCGGTGTTGAGTCTTGGAGAACATACGATACTCGCTATCGGCATTTTGGCTGGAAGTGTGATTTTCGTCATCATTACAGCAGTAGTTGTGTACCACGTGGTCATCAAAAAGAAGAAGAACAGAGTGATACCCATAACTCCAACCAAACATGCCAAAGCGAGAGACTCGGTCGCCACCACCTCCGACAGTCCAAAACCTGTAACCTCTAGCAAGACAACATCGTCTTCTAAATCATCGGACAAACAAAAGAAGGCTACACCGTCGCCATCGAAGAAGACTACTGTGAAGAGAACAAAGAAAGTGGCGCCCATGGAGGATGACGCTGACTGGTAGACCGGTTGTCGCCACATTAAGATGATGTGTCGATGTGGTTCAGCAGTTGCTTGTTCATTATTTTGCTACTGGAAGTACAATATATTATATACAATTACGTATCCATTTGCCAAATTCACAATTTGTGATTACCATCTGTATGTGATTGCTATGGTGAAACTCATATGTGTTCCATCAAACATTTGGCGTAAATCCTCTTGCATCTTGTTACACTAAACTGACTTGGCACCTACATGTACATACCATTGTAGATCCTTTCTAAATTGACATTTTGAGTCCTATAAATCATTAAAATATCCTGTTATGTTTAAGAATCATTACAATAAAAACGAAGTCAGTTTTTTGGCAACAGATACTTTGATATTTTGTTTTCTCTAAGGTTTCCTACCCACATTTATCTGGTATTTGACATTAGCATGCTAATTCAAAAGGCTACAATGTATTCAATTAAATTAAGTACAGGAGAGAGGTTAAGAATGTCGTTTTAATAGTTAATGTCTCGAATGAGATTCACAAAATAACCAACCATCACGAAGACCGCTTTTCTAATAAACGAACTTGTTATGTCGAAATGAATGCCAACTGCATTATAAGACTATTGCATAAAAACGTCCTGAAATCATTTGGAATTATTTTTGTCTATGATTGCCATATGAACGCCATTTCTTACTACTAAATCTCGACGACGTGAAATAGCTTAAATGAACTTGAAATAGATGAAGACAGAGCGAAAGTTCCTAAAGAAGTGAGTCTCATAATGTAACACGTATATATGAGAAATCCCCGTCAAAAACTACTATCAAACTTGTCCTACTTAGCAAGTAAAATCAAATGCGTGCTTGGAAAAAAATATCTGTTTATATTTGCTGTCATGTCGTATTTAAAACTCAGAAAAACAATATGGATGAGATGCTGCCTAGAAGCGAACGCTTGTGCCTCATGGACTTTGCTTTGTTTAATTTAAAATCTTAACTTCAGCCACTAAATCAGGGTAAAACAAATTTATGTTCGAAACAGGCGTTGTCTGGAAAGAGCGTAGATTTAAATTGTAAAATAGAATATCAATGTTTCAAAGTAGTCTTTTGAATCCCAATATAAAAGCTCAAAATTGATTCATTTTATATTTTTACCACTCATAGGGAAAATTCTCGGACTTTATTTGAATTGTTCCGTTCAAGTCGAGAGTGACAAGTTTATATTTTGACGTAAGAATTAGCATAAGATAATTAGTAATTGTGCAAATTAAAGTTGGACGCTCGTTCAGATGTTTACAATGACAATATATATCTATACACGCATTAGATTTACGACGTTTATTTTCAAGATGCCATTCTATTTTAATGGCATCGGCGAACAAAGATTTGTGTATTTACTAAGGCAAAATGCTGCATCAATAGCCATTCAACCAGAGAATGACATTTTTAGAGACACTTTGCAAACTATTAATATTTTCTATATTTGTTTTGCATTATCGCTGTCCTTGCCTATCGACGATTCGGATACATACGGAACTTTCTGTCTGTGGTTTCTATGACTAGGACATTGGTTTGTACAGGGATATATGGTCTTGTTGTTATCTGAGTTACGCTTGTACAGTACACGTACAGCAACTTAAGCTATTTCTTTTTTTCTTTTCCGGATATTGTTTGTATCATCATGAGTGATGTTTGTATTTTTCAAATCTGCAATATGAGATTTAGGGATATTAGGAAATGATTAAAAGGAACAAGGGAAATTGATTCTACTGGAATAACTTGGTTAAAGTATGTGCTGAGATGATAGGGGCGGATAAAAGAAGACTGTAGGGAAATATTCAAGCTTTGTCATACAAAGTTTCTTAGATCATACAAGACATTATTAGGCGAATCCTGTAATCGAAGAAACTCGATCTCGAAGTTGTTACATTCTTTATTGATAATGCACATGCTATGGTGCCCTCCTGATGCTCGCATTTGTTCTGATCACATTATCGGGAGTAGGTTACATCCAGGTACTGAGGGATACTCCATGAGTACCGAGAGATTCTTTTGATGTACATAATAGCCTCAAACTAGTCTTCTCGTCTCATCCACAAGGTGGTGCACACTGAGCCTTTGATTTTGCTATGACACAAGCTTACTAGTGACATGTCTTGTTCGGTTATCACTTATCTACTTGAGACCCTACACGAGACATCCCAAGATGGAGACGCACCAAAGTTGTGATTCGGAAACCTTTCTTTTCGTGTTCTGACTGCCATACATGGACGAGGAGGGCGCTTGAAGAATTCATTGAATCATGTTATCTGTTTCATGAAGCGATGCGTTCACAAGACATGTTTTTGTATTTGTGGGCAAAATTAAAAACAGATCTGTCCTGGAATCAGTTTTATGTATTAAAAAACCTTATCAAAGACTACCCTTCCAGGTGAATTTTCACAACATCATTGATGTTTTGACACAGCTATTGAGCCACCCAAACCCTAGAACAGCTCATCTGTCATACACTGATGTCATGTTACAAAAAGCTGTGTTTACCAAAGCATTATTTACCAAAACATGATTTGGCGACATGATAAACAACATCTTAGGAAGTTACTTATATTTACATTATCTGAAGTAGTCACCATGAATTTCAAAGAACATCATATGGAGGACAGATGTAACAAAGCGAAAGTCATATAGCTCTTTTACCAGGTGGACTCGTGTTGGCATCTTCGACTGAATCTTCAGGAATATGTCACTGTCGACCGCAGGGTTAGGGACGTCATCGATGTCACTGTCGACCGCAGGGTTAGGGACGTCATCGATGTCATTTCTGAGTTAGAGTGCGATTTTAAATTGTCAGCTTTCTGCCCAGGTACATGCATCCTCGGAAAATACAAATCGATAATGAACAGAAACTCGTTGGGTTGTAGAATCTTACCACGGACACCGTAAGTAATGTGGATGACAATGGCTTTCCTCCAATCTGCTCATACCTGTAATTGAAAAGAATTGGAACGCATTTGCACTGCCCGCTTGCCTGTTTGCGTTCAAGAGATTCATTTATGTCCTATATGTGACCAGTGTAACGCGCAGATAGCACAACATATACCCTCGCTTTCGGAAAATGACAACGCCCTTGTCAAGTGTGCATCTGACGACCTTGACATTTTCTGAAATGAATCTGGAATGAGTCGTGACTTTGCGCTGAGCATCAAACAGAGGATGGTGAGTGAGTTCTGGGCACACTATCAGCATGCTGTTGATCTCATTGGCACATAGACTCATTCTCGTCATAGGTCACAAAGGTCATAGGTCATAGGTCACAAAGGAAGCACAATGCTTGGTTACAGTTTGATGAAAATTATTCTTAATTGTCAAAACATACTCACGGTGTATGTCGTTCAGGGAAGAGGACGACTGACATGTGTGGATATTGTAGCATTATTCCTATATAACCTGAGGTGGTATATGTTCATTCGAACCCTAAAACCTTCCAGCTAGCCCGTGTTTCCTCTGGCCCTGACACCAGACTTAGACATTTCGAGACGTCTAAATCTGGTGTCAGGGCCAGAGGAAACTCGGGTAGCATTCCAGCCAGCTGGTCGGTAATTCAGAGAATCTGTATTGTAAGCAGACATTTGTTCCTCCTATAATACCAGTGGAAAATAAACTGAACAAGGCATCTAGGCTTTGTGAGGTTAACAACACTGTTGACCGTCAGTATTTTTGTGAAACCTCCCTTTCCAAATAATATGTAAAAATGGTAAACATGTCCATATGTATCAGTCCCTAATTGCAATTAGTTTAAGCTTGCAAAGAAAAGGAAATGTGTTTAGACGGAAGTAAAGCTTCATGAAGGGTTTGAATTGTAGATGCATACAAATGGTGATGACTATAAAATTATAAACACCATGTGCCTATCTAAACTAAAACATTACCCGAGTCAGACTCAATAAAATAATATAATTTCCCGACTTTGATTTTGTCGCAATCTGACTTCTTGGTCACAATTTTATCTATTAACGCTTGTTTTTTCTCTGAAATTTACAATACTATTTGTAAAAATAATGGTGAAAATAATGTAATTTAGAAAGTATTCGAGTAACATAACGAAAAATTCGTCGAAAAATTCCATTATGTTTGTACTTCAGATCACATGTTTAACATTAGCTACAAATACATTCGGGCTCAAAATGTACAACACGTTTTTATTACTTTATTTGACCAGTTAATGAACACTACATTCAACCAATGACACGACTATTAAGACAAAAGCAGGCCCTTGAAGCCTTTTGAGTTTTCTTAGTCTGTGCACTGATGACTAACTAGTTATAAAAGATACTACACACATCACTAAATTTGGATTAAACCGCACGATGGACATACTTCGCATTGTTCCGGAAACACGTCCTTTACAAATGAAAATCAGTTTTAAAAATAAACATACATCCAAAAGAATGTTTTAACTAGATACCTGTTGTTTGTAAAAAGACCTGTTGTTTGTAAAACTAGTTACCTGTTGTTTGTAAAACGACCTGTTGTTTGTAAAACTAGTTACCTGTTGTTTGTAAAGCGACCTGTTGTTTGTAAAACTAGATACATGTTGTTTGTAAAACGACCTGTTGTTTGTAAAACTAGTTACCTGTTGTTTGTAAAACGACCTTTTGTTTACAAAACTAGATACCTGTTGTTTGTAAAACGACCTGTTGTTTGTAAAACTAGATACATGTTGTTTGTAAAACTAGATACCTGTTGTTTGTAAAACTAGATACCTATGTATACCTGTTTGTTTATAAAACTATCTGTTGTTTGTAAAACTAGATACCTGTCGTTTGTAAACTAAATAACTAGTGTTTGTAAAATTAGACACCTATGGATACCTGTTGTTTGTAAAACTAGATACATATGGATACAAGTTGCTTGTAAAAATAAATACCTTTTAATTTGGATACCTGTTGTTTGTAAAACTAGCTACAACTTATCTTTAGTTTTAATATAATGTTTGTTTATCTTAATGTTTTCTCAGATGACATGTTATAAATTAGACGGAAATCTTCTTGTTATGTCGGCACAAACAGCTCTTTAGTCGTTGCTTGTTGCAATATCCAATTATAAATAAAACTTCTGTTCTTAGTTGAACCCGTCCGGATTCAAAATAAACCTACTCAAAATTTAGTATCAAAAGTAAACATCCGGTCATAATCAGGCGGGGAACTCGAATCCGTTACTTCACTTACCATAATTTAATGAAAATGAACGAATTTCAACGAAAGGTAACATTCACTATCGATTATTATTAAAATTCCAATATTAATGTGCACGTTTTTACAGGAGATACTGGTTGTCAATCGCCAACAATCCTTTTAAATTTTAATTATCGTTCGCACTATTCTCTCCTTTCTCTAAGCACATCGTGGCGTGGATGTAATTTTGGACGGTCACAGCATATAAAATTGTAATGGGACACAGGAGCCTGAAGCTCTGTCAATAATGAATAATAACAACAATACAAAAAATACCTATAATATGCTTAAACAAATAGATTTTTAAGCATATTATAGGTATTTCTTTTTGTATTACTGTTATTTACTTATTATTCATTATTGACATAACTTCAGGCTCCTGTGAAAAGGATGAGGAAAATACAACAGATCATACATGATTCGAGCCCAAGTATGTTGTGAGCTACTTTGTCACTCACAATTACCAGAGTTTACTTCCTCTTCTTTCATCTGACATTAATGAAAAAGAAAAATATTCTTCTAATCAACATCACCATAGTTTTATGTGACTTTTCATTATTTTTGTTAAAACTGAAATCTAAGAACATACAGCTGATCATTCTAGGTTAGTCGCTACATTGTATCCATTACGTATACGTCTTTAATCATATTTTAATTATTTGACCTGTTCAATGAACAAATGAAGTCGTTGAATATGATGACACGTATACGACTCTATATGCCAACGTCTGGCCAGACCATTGTTCAGACTTTCGAACTCTTGACGGACACTGTAATGAGTTAAAACTACATGATCTGTGGTGATTGACCAAGTCCACAATCGCTACCAGGGTTTTTGCCATGTTTTTATAGGGTTCGGTACAGCAGGGGCTTCCCTGACTGTACAAAACCTGCATTTTTTCTCCTTAATCTAACAAAGGACTCCCAAAATTGTTAAAATTTTGCACTTCATTATGTGTGTTTTGAGTCCTTGGACTCTAAAAGGTTAGAAATTTGAGGGTCCTAGGGAAAACCCTGGGTACAGGGACCCATTCCCGTTTGAAAAATAACCATTTTTTACCAATTTCAGTCTTTCCAATTAGATTCAAAGGAATGTAGTATATACAAGTTTCCAGTCATTATATGTGCAAGGTTCAGAGTATTACCGTCCATGAAGGAACATTCAAAATACTTTGATAACAAAAAATAGAACTTGAATAAACAAAAGCCCTTAAAATTGATGTGTTTAAACAGGTAGAAGAAAAAGGTTTAATTTTTTCAAAACATGATATTTTCCCAGACCTGTACATGTGGGGACATTGATGAAATTTCCCAATTTTTTTCCAAATGCTGATGATATTTTCCCAATTCCTGCTCAGGGGCCTTTTCCCAAAATAGCTCGCAAAATACCTTGGCTACAATTCTATTTGATGCAATTTGTGTTACTGCATTCATTGAATTTCAAAAATGGAATTTAATTCGGACAGTACATTGTACTTAAATTTTAGCAAGATTTATGCAGCTTTTCACATATGTTTTCCATATTTTGTTAGCTAGCTGTTAAAAATGGTATCCAATTCTATCAAAACCTTATGTTAATGAAAGTACAATTGTGACAAAAACTGTTTTAAGGAAGTCTGATCTTATATTTGTTTTGAGAAATTGATAAAGAGTGTGTTTTTTTTTAACTATTTAACTTCTATTTAATGATCACTACTATTGACTCAGTACATATTTTCTACATATTTACAGAGCGGAGCTCAGAAATTGAGGTCAGAGTACCACATGAAGTCCAGACGTCTAGCAGAACTAAAAGGAGATGTTTCCATCATAAAAATGGAAATGTACAAAAGTAAAGATCAAGAATGGTGAGGAGTTTAGTATCAGACATTTATATGTGAAATCTGTTTTCATCAATTAATGTTTAAGACTTGTCTATGAAAAATGTGTTATTTTAAAGTTTGATTTTTTTTCAGCCTGAGTGACAGTGGGATCAGGTCTCCCTCCCTGGAGAAAGCTGTAGGATGGAGGAAGAGACTGCACCAGGTGACAACACACCTACAGAATGTACACTTAGATGACAGTCAAGAACACAGGTAAGTACATAGCTTCTGATCAAATCAACTTTCCACCTCTTACAATTGATATACAGTGGAGAAAATAGGTAAGTATACATTGTGTATATAGATTCTTGTCAAATCTATCTTCTACAAGATACTGTGTTGTATAGTCGAATCTCATTAATGTGGACACTTCAATGTGCATAAAAAGTATCGGGACCAACATTTCTTGACAAAATTACATTTGTATATCAATTGTTTTGTTTTTTTATTTCGTTCTGTAATATGTTTATATAACATGACATGAAATGTACACCCTGTAAATGTTGTAGAAGTGACATGTGCTTATGGGGGGGTAATGATAATTTTTAATCTGTGCCTATTTTAAAAGTTTAATAGTATGAAACTGTCAGTGGTAGAGCAAAAGTCTCCCTTACATAGACATGTAATCTGGATACAGCATGGATATTGATGTACTCAGGTAGCTTAAATATCAGTGTCACATCAAATCTGTCAGATTAGTTAATTATTTCACCCCCTACATGCAAGGGTGTTGGTCCGTGGATGGAAGTCTGCTTAGATCACCACTGCTAATCTCATCAACCAATTTTTATTGTGTTGCCTGCAACGACAAGGCGACATATAGGTATCACTTTGGCGGTGGCGGCGTGGTCGGTTGCATCGTCTGAAACAAGGTTTCCGTGCAATAACTTGAGTTCCCTTGAGTTGATTGAACTCAAACCTGGTACATTGTACACAAACTGCATAAAATGACCAATATAGCACTAAAAAGTTAGCATTTCAGAAGTTTACGTGCATTTTTAGCCCACCATCATCTGATGGTGGGCTATTCAAATCCCCCTGCTTCCGTGGTCCGTGGTCCGTGGTCCGTCCTTACACAATTCTTGTTATCGGTATTTCTCAAGAAGTACCAGAGGGATCTTTCTCAAATTTTATATGTAGGTTCCCTTTGATCTCTCGTTGTGCATGTTATATTTTGAGACTGATCATAAAAACAAAATGGATTAAAAGAAGAACTAAACAGATCTTTCTCATATTGCAATGATCGATTCTATTTCTTTCACATTAAGTACTGTACTAGTTAGTATGTGAAATGACAAACTCACTTTGAAGGTTGGCTTTCATACACATTAGTATTAAGTTTAGATCAAAAGTTACCTCAAGGTGCATTTACTGTTAACATGATTCGATCAAACAGATTAGAGGAAAGAAGAGAAAAGATCGAACTGACAAAGAACTAATGAAGATGGTACAAAGGTGGGCGCCAAGATCCCTCTGGGATCTCTTGTTGGTAGAGTTATGTCTCTTTTATTGCCAAATATGGGCATTGTGTAGTAAATGCTAGAACTTTTTTTATTTTTTAATCAAATCCTTTCAAATTTTGTACGGTAAGCATTAATGTTCAACATATATTAAGTTTTTTTTCTGTGGAGTTTCAACTTTCTGCATTTTGGCATATCTGTTTACGTGATAACTTTTAAGCCAAAATACTTTTCTTACTAAAAGCGCTTAGCAGGCGACACATCCAATCCCGTGGAATTCTTGTGAACTTTGTGCACAGGATCAACACCTAAGGTAGTTATGTGCTTGTGTCCATTTTCTGATATCCTCTTATAGATATTTGTCCAGAGTATTGCAATTTACCTACCCTGATATTTATGATCCTTTGTCCACATTGTTAGTACTCTAGGCAGTTGTGCACATCGCATTTATTTTACCATTTTGATTATTTTTACAGGAGTTATTCCCCTTCTATGAATTCCATGTTTTTTCCCCTTCTATGAATTCCATGTTTTGTCTTAGGTACTACTTTTTCTTTCTGTGTTGATATTAATGAAACTTGGTACACCTATTCAGTGTTCTTGAAACATTTTTGCTTGATTATTATATGAAAAATGAACAAATGACTGGTACCTAAGTTAGTTGAGTGATTGCCAGTTTATTTTAGTTAATCTATTTTTATAGAAGTTATTCCCCTTTGTAGAGCGTGGTGCCGGGGATAGGGTAGAGGTATTCACTAACCTGTAGCTGTCAGTAATAGTTTATTCCCCTTTGTGGGAGCGTGGTGGGGGTAAGGGTAGAGGTATTCACTAACTTGTAGCTGACAGTATAAGCTTATTCCCCTTTGTGGGAGGGGGGTGCGGGGGTAAGGGTAGAGGTATTCACTAACCTGTAGCTGTCAGTATTAGATTATTCCCCTTTGTGGGAGGGGGGTGCAGGGGTAAGGGTAGAGGTATTCACTTACCTGTAGCTGTCAGTATTAGCTTATTCCCCTTAGTGGGAGGGGGGTGCAGGGGTAAGGGTAGAGGTATTCACTTACCTGTAGCTGTCAGTATTAGCTTATTCCCCTTCGTGGGAGCGTGGTGCCTAGGGTAGGGTAGAGGTATTCACTAACCTGTAGCTGTCAGTAATAGTTTATTCCCCTTTGTGGGAGCGTGGTGGGGGTAAGGGTAGAGGTATTCACTAACTTGTAGCTGACAGTATAAGCTTATTCCCCTTTGTGGGAGGGGGGTGCGGGGGTAAGAGTAGAGGTTTTCACTAACCTGTAGCTGTCAGAATTAGCTTATTCCCCTTTGTGGGAAGGGGGTGCGGGGGTAAGAGTATAGAGGTACTCACTAACTTGTAACTGTCAGTATTAGCTTATTCCCCTTTGTGGGAGAGGGGTGCGGGGGTAAGAGTAGAGGTATTCACTAACTTGTAACTGTCAGTATTAGCTTATTCCCTTTTGTGGGAGGGGGGTGCAGGGGTAAGAGTAGAGGTATTCACTAACCTTTAACTGATAGTTCTAGTTTATCCCCCTTTGTGGGAGGGTGGTGCTTGGGGTATGGTATTGGTATCCATTCACCTGTAGATGGTACAGGTATTCACTAATCTGTAGCTGTCAGTTCTAGTTTATTCCCTTTTGTGGGAGGGGGGTACCGGTGGTAGGGTAGAGGTATTCACTAACCTTTAACTGATAGTTCTCGTTTATCCCCCTTTGTGGGAGGGTGGGGCTTGGGGTATGGTATTGGTATCCATTCCCCTGTAGATGGTACAGGTATTCACTAATCTGTAGCTGTCAGTTCTAGTTTATTCCCTTTTGTGGGAGGGGGGTACCGGTGGTAGGGTAGAGGTATTCACTAACCTTTAACTGTCAGTATCGGTTTATCCCCCTTTGTGGGAGGGTGGTGCTTGGGGTATGGTATTGGTATCCATTCACCTGTAGATGGTACAGGTATTCACTAAACTGTAGATGTCAGTATTAGTTTATTAGCCCCTGCGAAAAGCGTTTGCGGGGGATATTAAATTGGACTCTGTCCGTCCATCCGTCTGTGCGTCCATGCATGGGTTTTTTTTCGGACCAGAGCTCTGAAACCGTTCAAGATAATTACTCAAAATTTTGTACAGTTGTCAAGCTATTACTCTAGTATTGCCTTTTGCTATGGAGAAGTTTCTCTTTTAAATGCTTTTTCTGTTACCCTGGAAACAGATAGGTCAAATTACAAATTTCATTTGTATGGATCATGACTCCAAAACCGTTCAAGATTACTACCTGAAACTTTGTATATCTATCAAGCTAGCATTCTGGTAGTGCCTTTTTTTTAATTTTGGTTACCATGGAAACAGATAGGCAAAACTAGAAATGTTGCTGTTTCCGGAATAAAATGTCAAGATAACTTCATGGACCAGAAACTTTGTCCACTTATCATTCTATCACTCGAAGTAGGCAAAATTACAAATTTCACGGTTTCCAGAGACTGGCAACAAAATTATTCAAGAACTGCCTGAAACTTTGTACACTCTGTACAAGCTAGCACTCTCTTGGTGCATTTTGCTACTGGAGGAGTTCTCATTTTGGATTTTTTTTTCTGTTGCCATGGAAAAAGGCAAAAATAGAAACTTTGAGGTATCTGAAGCATGATCTCAAAACTATTAAAAATAACAAATTGAAATTTTAACTTGTACAATTATCAACCTAGCACTGTATTTGAGCCGTTTGCATTCAAGATGTATACAGGAAGTGTTGTACACTTATGAAGCTAGTGCTCTTATGAAGCCTTTTTTGATGGGGAAGTCATCAGTGTTTTGTAAAAGATGATCTACATCAAAATATCAGTAACAGTGGTGGAATGGAGTTATTACCTGTTATTGTAATATTAACATATATATATATATATATGATTGTGTGTCTTTCTGTTAAACAGCAGGGTGCAGGGGGAAAATGTCACGCTTTGCGTTATCTTGGTCCCCTTAGTGACTGTGTGGTGCCCGGGGATATGGCACAGGTATTCACTCACCTGTAACTGTCAGTTCAAGTTTATTCCCCTTTGCGGGACCGTGGTGTTGGGGGTTGGGAAGAGGTATTCACTTTCCTGTAGCTGTCAGTATTAGTTGATTCCCCTTTGTGGGAGGGGGTGGCAGGGGTTGTGGGTAGAAATATTCACTAACCTGTAGCTGTCATTTCTAGCTTATTCCCCTTCGTGGGAGCGTGATGTTGGGGGTTGGCTAGAGGTATTCACTTACCTGTAGCTGTCAGTTCTAGCTTATTCCCCTTTGTGGGAGCGTGATGTTGGGGGTTGGGTAGAGTTATTCACTTACCTGTAGTTGTCAGTTCTAGTTAACTCCCCTTCGTGGGAGCGTGATGTTGGGGGTAGGGTAGAGGTGTTCACTAATCTGTACCTGTCAGTAATAGTTTAATCCCGTAGTAATAGTTTAATCCCGTGTGTGAGAGTGTGATGTTGCGGTAGGGTAGAGGTGTTCACTAACCTGTAGCTGTCCGTATTAGTTTATTCCCCTTTGTGGGAGCATGGTGCCAGAGGTAGGGTAGAGGTATTCACTAACTTGTAGCTGTCAGTTCTAGTTTATTCCCCTTTGTTGGAAATTTAATCAACATTTTGAAGCACATGATATGGGCAACACACATTTCGTGCTTAATCTTTGATGTTTTCTCTATATAGAAAATAGATTTTTGTTTTCAGTATGACAAATTTTGCTGTTTTCAATATGTATCATTATGTTATTTTCACTGTGTTTAGTTTTGTTGTTTTCACTGTATAGTTTTGTTGATTTCACTGTTTTGTTTTGTTGTTTTCACTGTATAGTTTTGTTGTTTTCACTATGTTTCGTTTTGTTGTTTTCACTTTGTAAAGTGTTGTTGTTTTGACTGTGTTTCGTTTTGTTGTTTTCACTTTGTTTCGTTTTGTTGTTTTCACTTTGTTTCGTTTTGTTGTTTTCACTGTGTTTAGTTTTGTTTTTTACACCACGTATCGTTTTGCCGTTTTTTACTACGAATATTTTTGTGGTCTTTACTACGTTAGGTTTGTTGTTTTCACTTAATGTATAGTTTCGTTGGTTTTACAGTTTCGTTATTTTCACTTTGTATAGGTTTGTTGGTTTTACAGTTTCGTTGTTTTCACTTTGTATAGTTTCGTTGTTTTCACAAATTCGTTGTTTTCCCTAGTTATAGTTTCGTTGTTTTCCCTATTTATAGTTTCGTTGTTTTCAAAATTTCGTTTTTTTCACTATGTTTAGTTTCGTAGTTTTCACTATCTATACCTTCATTGTTTTCACTGTGTATAGTTTTGATACTTTCACTTTGTTTAATTGAGTAATGTTGTTTTGTTTCCTATATGAACAGTTACCTGAAGCAGCTACAGAGACATGTACAGTTGTCCCTAGTCAATGCTTCCCCTCACCACACAGAGCTCTACGACTTGGTGTCCTTCGTCGCTGGTAAGTAAAACTTAACATTAGATGAATATTATATTGTCAGGTTAATGAATATTCATGTTTTTACATAAGAGGCAGATTTGTAATCTCGTAAATTCCTCTTAGTAGAGTTAAACAGCTCTAGTTTTACTCATTTACACCTGAAGACACATTTGAACTCTTCCAATTCAAAGGTCGGAAAAGTTCATAATGTAATTTCAGGGGTGAATGAGTTTAAAGCCTAACCATGTTTTTCCAAGTAAGAATCTCCAACAATAGTAGCAGTCATGTACATGACAAAAATGGCTTCTACTGTGTGATATGCAATCAAAACTAAATACCACATCATTACAAAAATAAACTGGATGCATGGTTCTTCGAAGAAGTGTATCTGTTTATAAATGTATTATGATTGAAGAACACGAGGTTTATTTTATATACTGTAAGTTCTGTTTGAGGATTTTGTCCTTTCTTACCAAGGAATATGACTTAGGTGAAGATAAAATACAGATGTATGATTAATATCTATGAGTGGTGAAGATGCGCTGTTATAAAAATACGCTTGACTCTGGTGTTTGGATAAATACAAATTTGTATCGCTGCCTCCCACTCTTAAGAATTGTGGAGTGACCCAGTGTAATCTTTTTTTTTCTCAAAACACTTTAGATATCATATAGGAGAGAAAGTAGCAGTCTCTGTAAAAACGAAGATAAGCTGTCTATACCTGCTAAAGAATTATTTGTTTTGGCTTTGAAGATATGCCAGTTTCATTGTGTAACCATAGTAACTAGAACACGTACATGTAGTACAGATGTGAATACAACTCAAACATATGGACTTCTAATTTATCAATATACTTTTTTTATATTATTGTTTTCAGATCTGAATTTAATGCATGAAAATCTGTGTGCAGTAAAAGAGGAAATAGAGAATGAAATTAACACAGGTAATTATATAAATAAACTGTAGTAAAATTCGTGAATATGTGTCATATATAATGTTGAAAAATCTTTATCATGTTAAACTGGCATAACCTTATTAACATGGTATAGGTAGTTTTATAAAAGATTACTTGGAAAACCAGTATTTTGTAAGCTTGTTACAAATTTGAACATGCGCAGGTGAACACACCACCTTATTATTTAGAACGAAGGCAGGATGACATCATATGTAAAAGAATATATGCATCAACATATCAATATATTACAGAAACCATATCAACATAATAGAAGGCTTATTAACCGTTAATCATATGGGGGGAAAAAGAGAATACAAAAGTATTAACAAAAACTAATTCAAAATCAAAGTACGGACTAAAGCGATTTAGAGACCCTTAAAAACGTGTCAAGTGAGTAAGATTAGCTGTTCCAGAAAGGTTTTCTTCTGCATTATCGTGGTAACGTCATGTAAATCCTGATCAATCCAAGTAATGGCATGTTCTCAAAGAGAAAATTGAGGTAATGACAAAATTAACAAATGCTAATGAGCAGCAGAGCAAATAAGACGGAAGACATAGTTTCATCACATCTGTATACATTATGTCAATAAACATTTGTTCAAATAATACGAAGGCATTATTGAATCCCAAGGATACATAACAACAGATATTGTGACATTAAATCATTTTTTTTTCTATCTTTAGCATTAAGGGCGCTGGCTAAAGCTTATATGCATTTGACAGCAGAGTGTGGTATGTCGGAAGACGGAGATTCTACAGACTACATGACACATTTTGTAAAACAGCATGTCAGTCCAAGTCGAAGAAAAGTGCCTTTCCAAGATCTAACAAATATGAGTTTCTCACATCACAGTGTATCTCACGATCAGCCATCCACAAGATCTATTCTGTCAAGTGACGGTGTGAGTTCTGACGTCTCCACCATTCCCTGGCTGTCTCAAATTGAAGCGCACACCAGTGGGTCAACAATTCAATGCTGTAAAAATATTCACGATAGTGCTACAAGAGAGGTTGACTGTGAAGGGGATGTTGTCAAAGGTATGCGCGAGATGTATAAAGAGAAAGTGTTACTGTCAAACGCAAACTATATTCATGTCGTTCAAAACCACAACAGCGAAGACGAAGAGAATACTGCAGGTGTGGGAAGAATCAACAAAAATGAAGCCATTCGAAGCTTTGGTTCAAGTTCCCAAATAGATAGTACACCAGATGTTAGTACCGGAGCCACAATTTGCCCAGGGTTTGATAATAATAACCTGGTAAAAGCAGGTCAGGGGTTTAGTATTGGAGTTGAATGTCGTTACCATGGCAGCTCTTGTGGTAAAATAAAGATATCGCATTTCAGCACCCCAAGCACGACTGCATGTAACAAAGTAAGGAATCTGGCACACATTGACCTACAGAATCCTGCATGCTACTCTCAGAAAGGTTTATGTTGTAACAACAAAGGGAGGCCTGTGTGTGATACTAACAGGAATCCATTTTTTAACAGCCCAGATAAGCCAATGGTAGATAACTGCCCAGGTATCCATGCTTTGGCGTCAATGGAGTCTGCTGCTATGACTTTAGAGGTAGAGCCTGTTATGAACATCCCCTATATCGATGATGATTTTTTCTAAATTTAACTTTATAGAGGATTTATTTCCAAAAAACAAGATACCGTGTAATGCTTAGATTTCATTGTGTTATTTTTTTATGTAAAATGTGTGAATGCCAAACATCTATCAATGCAGAAGGAGTTTGTTCATGGTATATTTATTAGTCAGTAGAATTATGTTACTGTTCATATGTGCTAGTCCCAGTCGTTTATTAGCTAACCTGGTCCGAAGGACTTTGGTGAGCTTATGACATACCGAAGCGTCAGTCGTCCGTCCGTCCGTCTGTCCATCAACATTTCCTCTAAAACGTTACTAGTCCTGAACGGCCAAGTAGATTTTGACTAAATTTGGTCTGGAGCATCCTTGGGCAAGGGGACTAGCTTTAATGTCCTTCTCCTTCCGTTGAGATGAAGGTATTTTGACCAAATTTGAACAGTATCATCATATTTGGAAGGGAAATCAATTTTGTATAAATGGTGGGTTTGGACCCCCTGGGGCCTGAGGGGCGGGGCCCAATAGGTAAAACATAGCAAATTCCTCAAAATCCTTTTTCTTCTGTAGGAATGACAGGATTTTGATTAAATTTGGGAACAAGCAACCTTAACTGAAGGGGAACCGATTTTGTATAAACGGTGGGTCTTACCCCCCTTTCGCCAGAGAGGCAGGGCCAAAAAGAAAAATGATGCTTTTAAATCCTTCTTCTGTAGGAATGACCAAATTATGTCCATATTTGGTCTTAGAAATCCTTGACCTAATTTTGTATCAACGATGGGTTTGACCCCTCTGGGGACAGAGGGGTTGGGCCCAATAGGGGAAACATAGTAAATTCTTCGAAATCCTTCTTTAACTTTAGAAATGACAAGATTTTGTCCAATTGCATATAAATATAACCCCTGACTAACCATGTAATACATGTACACCTCCAGTAACATCTTGCTATTCTAACTTCAATTTTGCTAACATTTCCAGGTGAGCGATACAGGCCCTCTGGGCCTCTTGTTAGTCAGTAGAATTATGTTACTGTTCATATGTTCTAGTCCCAGTCGTTTATTAGTCAGTAGAATTATGTCAATGTTCATATGTTCTAGTCCCTATCGTCCAATGAACAACCAACAACAGTACAGCTTGCAAAAAATGAAAGCATTTGAATGAGCTCAAACTGTATTCCAGATGTATTGTTTTTGTATGATGTTGCAAGGTAGCAATAAGTCCTTTGACACTATACCGTACTAAATTTAATTATATTATATTATATTGACAAATATGTAAATATGCAAAAGTCACAGTTAAATTTGAAAAGTTATAAACGGTGCCATTCTTGCTTATATAGCCTTTTTTATTTCAATGTTAATACGTTTTTGTTTACTTTGAATGTTATAACGATGTTCGTTTACTTGAACGCTAATAAGGTTCCTTTTTTGTTTGTAATGTTTTTAGGTCCTTGTTTAAGGAGCCCTTTTACCTAATGCAGCTGTTCTTTGCTTACAAGGTCTAAATGAATTGGACAAAGCATTTTTTGTTTCGATGATTTTTGTTTTTTGGGATGGTTTGAGTTTACCGTATAAGTAGTTTATCTATGCAGACTTACATTTTCTCGATTTTGATCCAAAATTACAAAATTAAATTTACACTGATTATAATTTCACGATCTCGAAATAGGAAGAAACTTAATTTTCGCGGTGTTTTACCACAGAGTCTGGAAATTTGTGTCAAATGACAACTAGTCAAATGAATAGGCTTCATGACAGCATATTGAGCAGTAATAGTAAGTGTACTTGTTAAACAAATGATAACCAAACCTATTAGATTGTTATATAACATATTTCAAACATCATTACTCTATTTGTTGATGAATCATCACAACCACATGCGTGTTATTTCATGATAACACTACGGTTATGAAGTTTATTATCGCAGCTTGATTTTACGATTCTCGTATAATTCTGTGCATCTGATTTTTCGCGATCACGTGCTTGACCCGCGATATCGCGAAAATATCATCTCCGTGGAAATTTTCTGCTATACAGTATTAAGTTGTCGTACTCATGCATTTTTATTTGTAACATGAAAGTGATGAATAGTCTCGATGTGTGACTTATATAAGGTATATAAGAACAGCAAGTTTGTCATTTACATCTCTGAGGATTTTCAAATAATTTCACCCGAAACACAAAAGAAAATAATTCGCTAATGGAGTCAAAAGATGCCTTTTACCAGAACAATCTATGGAAGTCTGTGACAGCCTGTGAAATTTCGTAGAATTTGACCATAGTTGCATATATGTTTTACTAAGGAACATGTTCATGCCTAAATCGTTACTTTGATCAAATAGAGGAAAAGACACCTAATTAAGACACTTTTTTTAAAACATGAAATCATGTGATACATTTGCCCATATTTTACAAAGCGTGGGAAAATGCACATTAATGATCTAAACCTGATTAAAGATATACGTTTCCTCTTTTCTTTTCTCAAGACAAATTTATAACACACCATGTTTTACCTATATACATAAATTTCCCTAATAATTTCTGGACAGGATTCTGTTAAATTGATTAATAATTCTATAAATCTCAAAAAGATTGCTGACATGTTAAATAAAGCACGTTTCAATTATTTGTGTACAGAAAATTATGGACTATATAAATACTTTTGCTGTTTTTCATTTATCGAGACAAAGGTAATTTTCTTAAAATTCGTATATTTTTTTTAGATGTGCAGGTATTTTAAAATAAAGGGAAATAATAATCATTCAAGAATCCTAAAACCAAATAGATATTGTGCACTCATATCTTTTTTGTAGTCAGCATGTTCTTAGAACTAATTTGCTAATTATGGATAAGTTGATGTAACGTATGTTATTTAATACAAATGACGATAAATATATGATAAAATTTTCGACTGACTTTGCAAGATATAAGAACCATTACTCACATTACCATAAATTTTACTTCTCTGAAGAAAATATTTTTTTCATGTAATTACAGTGTTTTTTACCTTTTTGTTTCTACAATAGTTTCTATTTAGTTGAATAATATTTACACTTGTAATGTAAACATAAATGTTGTTAGATTAATATATAAGATTTTGTATTTCGTTATATATTTATCCAAGGTGCTGAATTGTACATGCTGCATGTTTCATATTATATATACTAGCATGTAGTGTTATTGATATTTGTATTATCATGTAAACAATTGGTAGATCAGTGATTGGATTCATCACACACTGCAAGAGTAAACATGCAAATTATTCGTAGGCTATTTTCTCCTATCTTTCTTCATGCTAGGTCACCAGCGACTAAGTGTGCTGGGAGTAACTCCCCCGTCCATATGTAACATTGGACAAGGTTGCACAACTTACCTGCGTCGGTAAGCCTTAAGTAGGGGGCACTTGTTTCTCTTCGTTGATTCGATTGCTGCTTTCTTTGTCCAGGATTTAACTTCCTCTCAGCCTAGGTCATGATTTTCTTGATTGATATGTTGCTGATGGCACTATGAAAGATTTCCCTTTCTTGTGTGTTTCTTTCTGACGTCCCGAACATTTTCCGTCCGAAGATATATACTGCTTTAAAAATACAATTATACGCCCAAAGGGAAGTCAAAAAATATCCTTACCTGCTATATGAACTGAACATATATAAACCATTACATGTTAATATGTCATACATATTTTATACCTAAAAGTACGTGATTGACAAACGCGACTCATTTCTTTGCTTCATAGTTTAACTGATAGTTTCACATCAATATCAGTTTGTGTTTCAGTGCTCCTTGTACTACTGTCGTGTATGTTTATCACCGCATGTTTACAGTGTTATATATATACCAGATACCTTATATTTCCTATAGATATACCAGATACCTTATATTTCCCATAGATATACCAAATACCTTATATTTCCCAAAGATATACCAGATACCTTATATTTCCCATAGATATACCAGATACCTTATATTTCCCATATATATATACCAGATACCTTATATTTCCCATAGATATACCAGATACCTTATATTTCCCATAAATATACCAGATACCTTATATGTCCCATAGATATACCAAATACCTTATATTTCCCATAGATATACCAGATACCTTATATTTCCCATAAATATACCCGATACCTTATCTTTCCCATAGATATACCAGATACGTTATATTTCCCATAGATATACCAGATACGTTATATTTCCCATAGATATACCAGATACGTTATATTTCCCATAGATATACCAGATACGTTATATTTCCCATAGATATACCAGATACGTTATATTTCCCATAGATATACCAGATACGTTATATTTCCCATAGATATACCAGATACGTTATATTTCCCATAGATATACCAGATACGTTATATTTCCCATAGATATACCAGATACGTTATATTCCCATAGATAGACCAGATACCTTATATTTCCAATAGATATACCAGATATCTTATATTTCCCATAGATATACCAGATACCTTATATTTCCCATTTATTGTGCTTTTTGTTCCTCCCATTGCCCTTTAAGATCCTTGCCCCATGCAGGCGAAGCACTAAAGAATGATGGTTTGTCCTTAGTACCACTCATTTATTGTATTTTGGATATAACTGTAGAGCGACTTGGCGATGATATTAAGATTGACTGGGACAGAAGTCCAGGTTTCAAAAGTGATTGCCCTTTGTTCATTTCAGTATTAGTGGTTTTTTTACCGGAGATCTCCTCCTGCATTTTTTGACGGACTTCTTTGAAACTTGGTAGGCTAAATAATCATGATATGTTGTTGTGTTTCCTTGAAAAGAATTTCGATTCGACAATTTTTGCAAATGTTATTGCCCTTTGTTTATTTTAGTATTTGATTTTTGTCAGGCAATCTCCTACATTTTTCAAAGGATCTCTTTGAAACGTGGTATACATCATCATCATGATATGAAGTTGTGCCCCTCTTAAAAGAATTTTGATTCAACGATTTTTGCAAAAGTTATTGCCCTTTGTTCATTTCAGTATTTGATTTTTTGTCCGGAGATTTTCTCCTGCATTTTTATAGCTTATCAGCTAACCACTCTTTGAATGATGCAGATCTTATTTCAATGTAAGAAAGTATATGGCATTCAACGAGCGTATATTGTTCCGCCCCGCGGTACTCTTGTTTCACTGTGAACACTTTTGAAGATTCATTTTATTTAGATTATTTGTAGACCTATTCCTTTTTCATAACAAATCTGCAAGTATGGTTTCCTTTTTAGAAATAACTTATCAAAGCTATAGTCGAGCCAGGAAAAAACAGTTTCTAATTCATAGTTAAGTTTTTGGCAGTGGTTTTGGGATCCTTAATTTCAAGGAGGCAAATGCGGTCAAAGATGCGCGCTTTCTGTGATACATGTTCAAATGTCGGACACGCCTAATGTAGAATCATCGAAAGGGGATGTA